CAATAATAAGATTAACATTTTCAATCTTATAATAAATTTTATACAGCCTGTGTTATGTATTGACCTAGGCTACTACGGCTAATGACAGGTACGCTTTCACTATTAAAGGCTTTTTCTATGAATCGAATGACCTGTACGAAACACGAGCTCCTGTAGACCAAACCCAGTACCGTTACGATTTTAATCGTACGGGAAATATCCTCAAGAGCAAATCTGATAGACCTAGCTCTCACTGGAAGTGGTCAACAAATGGTTTATTCAACATTATTTTGATAGTTCATTCTATTTTAAACAATGTATGCACAAATAACTTTGAAAGGCAATTACTCAAACATGTTTATCTTGACTCTAGAGTACTATACTTTCACTTTCCTATAACTTAAGCTTGGAATGTCCAATTTTAATGAATGACCCCTCATTTTAAAGACCACATACTCAGGTATATGAAAATACCAATAACTTGAATTTCAATTTTTGCTACAACTTAGCCATTTTGGCACAACATGCCTCATATTGTTAAAACTTTGTTTCAGGAGTGAAGTCTGATGCTGTACCTTGTGCTACAGTTGAGCGTGATACTATGATGTGTACTTGTCATTCAGGTATGCTGAAGAGATCCCTTGTTTCACAACAACCAGGCCAATCCTATTAACAACTAAATTAAATTTGTTCTGTCCTAAAATCCAGGCTTATAATCACATGATGATGAATTTAACTTTCAATATTTAAGTTATCAATATTTAAAATACAGACTTCATTCAGTGGTTGCTATTCTAATATTGTAACTTTGATATTTGATTAATTAATGCCGAGTAGTGGCTGTGAATAAGCTAAAATATTGAACTATCATACTTTCAACATTTTTTTTACATAAATATTTTTTCATTCTTTTTCCAGCGTCTGCCAAAGTAAAACCATCTGTGAAGCCATCATCAGGTATCGTAATGAAAATCCTGTAGTTTCAACCATTACCATTAACAATGTGCTTGACATAGGGCTAATGCCTGCCAAAATTTTTCATTACAATATTAGACATCAGAGAAATGTACAGAAGGTCTTCTTTCTTCTTTTTTTTTTTTTAACTTTATAATACAGCTAAATGTCCTAAGAAAAATTATATCTTAACACTGTAATAACCTAGGAATTCAGGGCTTCAGTGTACGGTTCCGACGAATTACCCAAATCATATGGATACCAAAATTATACCCTAATGATACAGAATTATGCAAATAAACATCCAAATGATGATGAATTACCAAAATGTGTATAAATAACTACTGTAAGTATAAGGGGGGCCAAAGGCATTGCAGCCTAGCCTACCATTTCACTAGGCTACACTGTCTTGTGGTTACCTACAGTCTAAATGCACTGCAAGTCAAATCAGCTAGTCAGTATAAATTTATTAACATTGACCCTTTATCTTGTTAATAATTAATTACGGTTCAGATATTCAATAAGCATCTATTATTTGTTTGTTTGTTTGTTTTTGTCACTTTGGCTGTCAAAAAATGATAGCAAACTGCTCTATTTTTATTTTTAATTCCGTATCATTAGGGTAATTCTACAATTTAACTTGCCTTAGTTAAATCCAAAATGCCAGTGAAAAATGTTTTGACTTGGATGAAATTTGACTTTAGAGAGTTAAGCAGTCAATGTCATTTGGGTAATTCTATATTTGGTAATTCATCGGACCGGTGCACAGTGGGCCAGACTTAATTACTCATTACAGAAGCAAATCTAAGCGAGTACAAGACTTATTTAGAGGTTTTCATACCCGTAGAATTCAATAAAAGCATTTTCAAATCTATATGACATCATTTTTGTACTGTTTTCTTATTGGACGGTGTCATTTTTCATTGTAATACCAAAACAAGTTCATATTGCAATGATTTTTGAAATGTTTAAGAAGGTTTGG